TAGTTTCTCCTGGCAGCTGTCTGTACCACTACATCTGGTTATAGCCAACACCCTTAGTGTGTCTGCAGTCTATTGTAGCATCGTCACCCTGTTGTTTCCACAGTATGGAGGTCTGGTTGACATCACTTCCATCAGTCAGACCTGTTTGTTGAACAGTTGAGGTTCATTATTGTGTTGTTGTTACCATTATTACTTCTATGTTGAATAAACAGTTATAGTGAGAGTAGAAATCATAAAAAGTTGATCATGTTGTAAATTACCTGCAGTCCACAGTAGAATGAGTAATAATCTGAGGACGCCTTGTCTGATGATGATAGTTTCCATGTTGTGTTGGACAGAAAGTGTCAGAGAGTCTCATAGTTCCAGAGATATGAAGAGCTGCAGGTGGGAGTGTCGCTGCATGTGATCCTGTGAGCTGCTGTTTGTAATCTAGATGAGAATATACGTGATACTTTGGGTCCCCCTACAGTCCATCAAGGGAGTCTACAGAAGTTTTTCATTGAGGTGGCAAGAAATGTTTTTTTTTATTATTATTGTCTCACTGGTTTCAGAGTTTATGAATCTTGTTCTTGCAATGGACAGGAAAAAGCTCCAGCCATGTGAAAATAATGCAATTTACAAAACTACGGTCCGTCAGTGTTGCTGATGTGTATTTGTTGATGAAAGTCTTCTACCTGCAGAGTTGTCCACATAAAATAACTCCGCTGCTCGTTTGCTGCTGGATTTCTTTATGGAACCACTACAAATGAGAAATGAATTACTTATTTTTTATTTTTACATTTTGGATTACATGCAGTTATTTTCAGAGCAAAGTATTTGTGTTTTTTTGTACAGTAACTGTTAAGGCAGCAGATAAAAGCAGCTTCATCATAGCATTAAGACAACAGACCATAAGTAAACCAAGTCTGGTGACTGTATTTTACACCATCAAACAATAGCCTACTGCTTACAGTATTAAGGGGATTTTTTTTTTATCGCTCTGTTTAAGGTTTCCACACAGCTGAAGTCTCCAGCAATTTGTCATCTCTTTAATGGTCCCATATGGTGAAAATCTTGGGTTTTTTAAATTCTGTTTTGTGGTTGTTATAAACTTGGAGGGGTAAAATTAAAGCTGTTTACGACATGAAGACATTTGCATCTGCCATTCCTCAGGCTCCCACACAGCGAGCTAGCTTCCTAGCTTTACAAGCAAGTCAGACTTCAGCCCAGGTGCTATGTAACACCTAACTCACCAGTAGTCGTCCAACTCAAACTGTGATTCGCAGCTCCAGCTGTAAACCGTTTGCACCATTTGTACCAGATCCTGTGAGGGAAGAAAAAAAAAAGGTGAAAAACTATAACTGACTCAGCTAGGAGCAACAGTCATGAAACAAAACTGTTGTGACTTTTCAGCTGAACTGCAGGCTGTGCAGAACACAGAGGAATCAAGTATGGAAACAAACTAGAGAGTCCCTAAA